CCGGCCCCCCGCCATGGTGGGGGCCGGGCCGAGGGTGATATGGGACTTATCGTTAGTCCGGGGGATGGGGCAATGATACAGGTCTGGGGGTTGTACATTGGAGGAGAAGCTGCCCCTCGCTGGAGGAAGGATTTGGGGACACCGGCCCCTCTCGGGATTTGCGCGGCATTTAATCCCTCCCAGGAGTGATGGGAGCTGCGCCCCCGGGCTGTATTCCGGGGCGTGCACTGAGGATATTTGACCCCCCCCGGGGGTATCTGGGGAATTTGCCCTATAGGGCATTTGAAGGAGTACATAGGGAATTTCCCCCGGCGCACTTGGGGAGCCTAAGGGGATATTTACCGGCTACTCCCACTCTGATCCTAACTTTGCTCTACGAAATGTTTTGCCCGGCTCGGGCCCAATCAGGAGCCCAGAGCCTTTGGCCCCGCCCCCACGTGACTCTTTCAAAACCAGCCCCTTTGTTTGAGCTGTTGTGTGTGTCGAGTCCTGGCAAGAAGCGCCCAGAGCCGGTGCCGGCTTCAGGGGGCTCCCCCACAATGCTCCCCTCAGCCTGCTCCCGGTGCATGCGATTTCCTTGCAGCCGGTGGGTGTAATTTATTCGCCCACCCGTGCTGACCCTGTCCATGCAATTTACCCCCCTCCCGGCATGCAACTTACCCTGATCCTGCTCGCGGTGCACACTTCCCTCTGCAGCTGCTGCGCCGGGTGAGTCCTGGCTGCCCGCCGGGTCACTCTTGCCCCTGCTGCATGCACTGCCCCCAGTTCTCTCGGTCTCCTCCCGCCGGTGTATGCGCCTCTTCCCTCCCCCAGCCGAGCACTGCCGCCTGACTCGGAGTGCTCATGGCCCGCAGAGCTGTACTGCCCTCCCTCTGGTCCGGGAGCGACCGGGTGCGGATCGGGGAGCGGCTGCAGGCCAGCCTGGCTGGGATCTTGGAGCTGGAGCTGCTGAGAGACACGCAAAAGGGAACAGTGGAGAGCGCCTTGGGCATCTGGGAGACGGCGGGGGCTGGCCCAGGGAGGCAGCGACAGGTGAGAGGGGGGATGCATTGGCCAGGGGAAAGGCGGTTGGGTTTAGGGGGCTGTGTTGGCGGCCTGTGATACACAGGAGTGTATGTGATCTGGCCTGAAACTCTGTGACTTTGCAGGAGGGGCTGGTTCTGAGTAGGGGGAGTACAGTGGAATTGGGGGGGGGCATGGGATGGGACAGAGGGAGGGCATCTGTTACTGGGATATGGAAGGCTGGCGGGATGGTGATGGCTCTGGCTTAGGAGTGGGATATGAGGTGGAACATGGGAGCTGGCCTGGGGAGTTGGTGTAACTATAGTGAGTTTGGGAGTGTGATGGAGCAGGACAGGGGCATGCGTGGGGGATAAAAGGGTATGCTGGATTGGAGGGACAATGGTTGCCCTGGCCGTGGGGAGGTGGATTGAAGGGTTAGTGGCCCTTGGGCAGGGCACAAGTGGGAGAGCTGGAAGGCTCCAGGGCTCTGAGCTGGGTGACATCCCCAGTGCTCTGCCTGGGGGTAGAGTGTGCTCCACTTGGAGAAAGAAATTATTTTTGCAGCAAACAAGCCTGGAAAGCTCCTCAAAGGCAGGGTCGGTCAGTCTGGGGGAACAGCCCAGGCCTAAGCAGTGCCTGTACGAGTGGCCAGCACAGATTGATCAAGGAAAGGCACAAGGAACTCCAGTGCGGAGGACTATTTCTTGTCCAGGAGGAGTTCCCTGCTCCCTTAGGATCTGGGAAGTACCCTGAGGTTGAGTCTGCATCCCTTATATAGCCTTTCCTGTCTGAAACCTGGACATGGTCCCATTACCCACATACATGTTCAGCCCATTTGTGAATCCTGCTGGGGGGGGGGCTCTTGTCCCCGTCATGCCTTGTGGCTGTGAGTTCCACAGGCTAATTCAGTGCTTGTTTCCTTTCTTTGGTTTTAAAAGTATTGCCTCTTTAATTTCAATATCTCCTTGTTCTGCATCAATTTTGGGGGTGAATGGAGTCCCGTCTGCCTTTTCTCTGCCCGTTACTATTCTGTGTTACTCTCTCATGTCTCTTATCTGAAGTAAATAGTTTCAGGCTCTTTTAACTGACTTTAGACTGAAGTCTCTACCTATCTTCTATTTCTGCCTTGTGTTTGCACCCATCCCAATCCCACTTCCTCCTTTTTGTGCATGAAGTTTGTATAGCCGTTTCCTGGCATGTGGAGGCATTGGTGCTTTATTGCCTGATACTAGATACAACCTGTATTGTGAGTTGTCTCTTATAAATTCTCTTCAGCCACTTCTTGAATGCAACCACGTCTGGTGTGGGCTGGGGCAACTTACCCAAAAGTACATTGCAGTGCTGCTTAACAGCTTAGGAGAAGGAAAAGAGAATCCATTTTCCCTCTTAGACTATCTGTGCAGAGCTGTAGACATATGGGTCCCAAGATATTGAGAGACACAAGGTGGGGAAGATAATAGATATTATTGAACCAACTTCTCTTGATGAGAGATGCAAGCTTTGGCACTTACACAGAGCTTTTCCTCAGACCTGGAAAATGTACTCAGCATGTCAGTGCTTAGTAGAAGATGGAACAGATTGTTGAGCATAAGTTGTTAACATATTTCAGCATATTCATATTCAAGGTGAAATGGCCTGTTAATGACTTATGTTAAACAAGCTGTTTTGTCTTGTATTTAGCAGTGATATTCTGAGGCCATGTCTAGGCTCCTGACTTACAGCACTTCTACAAATAATTACATTGCTTGTGCATGTCTACCTGTTGCTCCTTGTGTGAGTGGTGTGTGTTCTCCTCAGGAGTACTTGTATTGATTATACTGGCAGTGAGGGGCAGCTCCTGAAAGCCAGTAACTGTCAACTAACTACATCAACTGACTCTGCTCGTGAAGATGGTATTATTAAATCAGCATTGCATGGCCGTTACATTGGCAGGAGTAAAATTTAAATGTAGTCACTTCCATAGTTAGGTTGACATAAGCTGCCTTGCCTCGATCTGACTCTGCAATGTAGAAGTTGTTCCATAGAAGATATTATCTCTCACCTTGCCACTCAGCATACAGGAGGCCTCCCTCGTCTGCCCTGTGCTCTGGTGCCTAACTAAGGGGCAGTGTGCACTTTGCTGTACCTCGGGCTGTGCTATTTGCATTTCTCAGCCTACTTTGTTTGGAATAGATGTGCCCTCATTTGTACAGTCAGAGCCCCAGGATAGAGGGCATTGAAGCCTTGTGGGACTCTGAGAGAATTCTTGGTGTCTCCCCTGACTCTGAGGGGTAGTTGTGTTAGTCTGTAACTTAAAAAAACTTAAACAAGTGGTCGTGTAGCACCTTGGAGACTAACAAAAATATAACAATAGTATCATGAACTTTTGTGGGCACAGCCCACTTCTTCAGATAAGTAGGCAAGAGGCACACAGAAACCCCAAAACGTAAAGCTGAAAAAGCGGGGAGGGGTGGGGAAACCCCTGTCAATTATAGTGTCTGTGCTCTGTCTGTCTGGGGAGTTGAGGCAGGGAGTAGGATTCAGGCCTAGGCTGCTGCCCTGGCCTTGGTGAGTTGGTCTTTGTGGATCTGTTTTGCAGGGAGGTGGGCGTTGGCTGGTCAGCCTGATGCCTGTTAGAGGAAACAAACCACCTGTTGTTTACTGAGCTCACTTCCTGCCTGGCTGTCCTCCCAGGCCAGCTCTGCGCTGGCGTGGGCAGTGCCAGCTTCTCCATCCCCTCCCTGGTGTCATTCAAGAGCAAATAGCAGAACTGGAGTCTACTCTTTATGAGGAACATCTTAACTAGCCAGCTCCAGTATCTGTTCCCTCCATGCCTGCCCTGCACACCTGGCATTGCAGGCGGAGTGGAAAGAGGAGGGAACTGCCCCAGGGCAGCCTGGCCAGTGCATGCCCACTCATGCCCAGTAACATACACAGCTGTGCCTATGCGGGGGTGGGGTGGGGGGGGTTGAACAGCTGGGAACCTGCAACCTGCCCCCTCCCAGGGGATAGCAGTGAGGCCAGGCCTGGCTTTCAGGACCAGTCTGGCTTAATGCCAGCAGAGGCTTTGAATAACCAAATTATTGGGTGAAGGCATTGAGTCAGGGGTGGGTGGCAGAAATGTCAGTGGGGCCTGGCTGTTTTCCAAGGTGAAGGGTGCATGTGAACCCCCATACCCACCCTAGGCACCCCAGCAAGCTCCTGCATGTACATACCCCCCCAACTCCTGAAGTCTTGTACATGCACTCTCAGTTTTCCCATGTGGAGCGTGTCTCTCTGCTTGAGTAGGTAAGATGGACGGGGAGAGGGGGGCTCACACAAAGGCAACAGCTGCCTGGTCAGGGCTTGGGAGGGATGGAGCTGAGCTCAAAGGCTGAGAGGGGCCTCCAGGCTCATGTTTCACTCCTGCCGCCAGCTTGGCTCTGGAGCTCTCCCCCCTCTTCCTTGGCTATGTTAGCCTGGCTGTTGGTGGGGCTGGGGGTGGGGGGGTTCCCATTGCTCCCCTCCCAGTTACTGGGCCCTAAGGCTAAGGGGAAGCCAGGCATGTGGGGCAGTAGGGATGATGCTACAGAGCAAGTCACCCTGGCTGGTGCTGGCGGCTGTGGGGCTGGGCTCAGAGGTGTCTAGGGCTGTGGTTTGAGGGAACAGGACCTGTTTTCCATT